GAAACAGCCGCACCTCCTTCAAACGCAATAAAAAAAATAAAGTTTTTTATGAGTCAGTATAAGTTAATAAAATAAATGTCCGAAAATTACGAATATTTTACTAATCACTATGATTCTATGATTATTCATATGAAGTCTCATGACAAAGTCGCGCGGTATTCTTTCCAGTCACACTTGTCCGTGTGACTAGTGTGACTAGTAAACTAGTGAGATGACAAGCAGATGACTTCCACATGCAGTGGGACCACAAATCATCATAAGTTAACTGCGCTTTGTTTGTGCACTTGGCGTTTTAATGATATCATAACCATGCAGCAGTTGTTAAGAACAGTCCGGTCATCATATCAACTCCGTAACAGGTTTACGCGTAAAATGGTTATTGTTTCGCTATTTATCGGAGTATTAATTTATGTACTACTGTTTTAACCATGCAATAGGTTAGTTTGAACTTTACATTATTTGATAATGATAATATATTATTTATTATTATTATATTATTATCATTATGTATGATTTATAATATCTTATAGAAAATTGTTTGGTTAGAAAATCTTTCTATATCTGGATTCTTTCATACCCTAAAATTTCGGTCTTGTTGTTCGCGCTCAATCTCGCTTTTTAAAAGATCTCTATTCTCTTAATAATTTTAATATTGTCTCATATTTCCTTGTTTTTCTTTGTGCATTTTATTAACCTTCTCTTTCTCTTCGCTTTCTTATTAAGTCTCACGTCTTTTTTTATCTTACTACTTTCAATGCCACAATGAAATGGATCGGGCAAAGAAAATTGCATGCAGAAAATTTATTAGGAATAATCCGTTATGAAACCCATCATAATGGACAATATTTGGAAATATATGGAATATTAAAAAAAAAATATCGATAATGGGTTGCTGTATTTGAACATCTGTTCGATGATTTATACTATCGGACTATGTGTAACATCGGACTGGTATTGGCTTTATTCTGAGTTTGCCAAATAGACTCATTCGTGAACCTTTGGTGATATTTATGGTATGGTACAAGACTACAATAACACCCTGTTTTTTTGTTCTGCTCTAACCTCCCCACTCAAAATACCGCTATTCTTTGAATAACCGCCCCTCCGACAACGCTTCCACCTTTTTGTTTTTGTATCTTTTTCATTCTATTAGTCTTATTTTCGCGTCGCTTTGTCAACTATCGCGTGTTTTCTATTCTTAATTGTCGTCCTCTGTGTTCGTCCCTTCTACCAACGCGGACTTCTAATCTTTTCCTCTTATTTCTTTCTTCAAATGCTTTTCTTTTAGTGAGTCTGCGTTCTCGAAAGATCTCTTGCTAGACAATGTTCTCTCTTCACTCATCATCAATACTTTTTAATCTTCACTCCTTGTCTATTATTTTATTACTATAAAACTATACCTACTTGCTCCATCACGACGCCAACTTTCTTATTTATTTTATTAACTTATACTGACTCATAAAAAACTTTATTTTTTTTATTGCGTTTGAAGGAGGTGCGGCTGTTTC